GAACACACAGCTTGTCTAACTGTGAAGGGGCACTGGAGGCAAAAGTGCATCCTACCTACTAGCTAGGTGTACCTAATAAAGTGCCCATTGAATGTGTGTGTGTGTGTGTGTGTGTGTGCGGACTAGGTTTATATTACATTGTGGGGACCAAATGTCTCCCACAATGTAATAAAAACCTGTTATTCTGACGTTATGGGGATCGTTTTTCATGTCTGTGAATGCAAGAGTTTCATATTTTGTTTGGTTACTTATGGTGAAGCTGGGTAGGGGTTAAGGTTGTCATGCTGGGATTAGATTTTTCCCCATATAAATGAAAGGAGAGTCCCCACAAAGATAAAATTACAAACCTGTGTGTGTGCGCCCTGGCCAAATTGGGGCCCTAAGCAGAATTTTATCTTGAGGCCCCCCCCATTACAAAATGACTATCACGAAACCCCATTTAGGTTTTTCAGCATTGACCCTGTTATGGCAAGAAATCCATCATACCAGCAGATTATTAAGATTGAATATTGAATATTTAGGGGCTCTTATGTGTAAGCATGAACCATTTACACCTGGCTACATCCCCCCCTTTCATGGCGCTGATGGGGATGTATCTGGATCGCGTTTCACCGTTGCGTTGTTCATTAGATTACCATGCGAATTCGATTTCAATTCTATTTAAAATGCGAATAGCGATCTTCACGTCTGGGCAGTACTATACGCCCCCGATGCAGGTAAAACCATCAACGATGACATGGTTTACTTTTTTGCCGATTTAACCTAATTTTAAAAACTTTAAATACTTCCGACAATGGAAGTTTTGAAAAGAAGACAGATTACGGATTTAGCCAGCGTTTTTTTCATGATTCTTCATGAAGATTTCAGCGAGATATAAACGGAAATACATGAGAAAGATACACGTCGTCCCCGGAGGGTTAATCTCCGGTCAACATCTAGACAGAATTATCCTCTCTTCTGTCTCATGATTAGCAGGGTAGCAGCTGGGGTGTTTGTGCCACAAAATGTTTNATTTATTATTTTTTATTAGTGCTTCCATGTTTACTGTACACACAGTGGCCAGTTCATTATAACAGTGGTTTACAGACAAGCTTCTATGAACACACAGCTTGTCTAACTGTGAAGGGGCACTGGAGGCAAAAGTGCATCCTACCTACTAGCTAGGTGTACCTAATAAAGTGCCCATTGAATGTATATGTGTGTGTGTGTGTGTACTAGGTTTATATTACATTGTGGGGACCAAATGTCTACCACAACGTAATAAAAACCTGTTATTTTGACATTGTGGGGACCATTTTTCAGGTCTGTGAATGCAAAAGTTTCATATTTTGTTTGGTTACTTATGGTGAAGCTGGATAGGGGTTAAGGTTGTCATGCTGGGATTAGATTTTTCCCCATATAAATGAAAGGAGAGTCCCCACAAATATAAAATTACAAACCTGTGTGTGTGTGCAGGGCTGCCCCTGGCCAAATTGGGGCCCTAAGCAGAATTTTATCTTGAGCCCCCCGCCCATTACAAAATGACTGTATCACGAAACGCTATTTAGGTTTAGGACAAGAAATCCATCATACAAGCAGATTATTCAGATTAAATATTGAATATTTAGGAGCTCTTATGTGTAAGCATGAACCATTTACACCTGGCTACATCCCTGGGTACACCCCTTTCATGGCGCTGATGGGTATGTATCTGGATCGCGTTTCACCGTTGCGTTGTTCATTAGATTACCATGCGAATGCGATTTCAATACTATTTAGAAGGCGAATAGCGATCTTCACGTCTGGGCAGTACTACACGCCCCCGATGACATGGTTTACTTTTTTGCCGATTTAACCTAATTAAAAAAACTTTAAATACTTCCGACCATGGACGTTTTGAAAAGAAGACAGATTACGGATTTAGCCAGCGTTTTTTTTTCATGATTCTACATGAAGATTTTAGCGAGATATAAACGGAAATACACGAGAAAGATACGCGGCATCGCCGACAATGCCGTCGTCCCCGGAGGGTTAATCTCCAGTCAACATCTAGACAGAATTATCCTCTCTTCTGTCTCATGATTAGCAGGGTAGCAGCTGGGGTGTTTGTGCCACAAAATGTTTCTTTTTTATTTCAACAACATACCCACATTCAAGTGAAGCACGATCCTCCTCTTGTTTAGACTTTTTCTTTCAATTGCTTGCTCCTGATTCGTATTGCCGTTTGGAGGCCATCTCTCTACTAGTGGTGGGCGGATCGATCCAAGTATCGATAATATCGATAATAATGTTGGTATTGATATTGATCGATACCAGTTTAATGAGATCGATACTAAAGTTTCAATCCCTCTCCCGAATGCACTGCGGCTGTGTTCGCGCCGCCGCTCTCAATTGCCGCTCCAGGCTGTCACATGACTCAGTGGCGCCAGGCTAGCAAACAGGCGCGGGCACACACACACACACACACACACACACACTATAATATTTATAATAAAGTACAGTGGTACCTCGGTTCTCGAACTTAATCCGTTC